TTGTGGGTTCCGGCTGCTGCAGAGGAAGTGCTCCGCACTGAACATGAGTGAATATCGCCACATGCTCTGCGCATTGGGCGTTTCTGCCAGACGCTGCGCGTCGGATTTGCATTCCAGCGGTTGCGTGTAGACGGAGTATCCATGAAATGTCAGCAAAACGCCCGATGGACAGTTTCCCCATCACTGACTCCGCAGTGAATGTGAGGGATATTGAGGCTGTTATTTGGAGGGGAGAATATTTCTCTGCGATGCCTGGGGATGAGCCCTCTTCGTGGTGTCTGGACACGCTTCCCACCAGCACGACGGATTCGAGGGACCCGGAGAAGACATATTTCAGTGCTGCCATGCATGCGGCATTGAGGTGCCTCGGCATGCAGGTGCATCTGGAACTGGCTGAAAGCGGTAACGTCCGTTGGTTCCATGCACGGACTGAGCGACGATTGCGTGGGCCACTCGACCAACGATGAGGGAAACGTCATTTGCCGTGACCACGCGGAGGTGTGCACGATATCTGGCACCAGCGGTAGCCTACTTCCAGTGGTTCCGTGGGACGGCGAGAAGAGGGCGTTTGGAGCAGGACGGTTTCACCGGCATCTACTGAAGAAGGATTGCCACGGGGGCATCCGTCCCCGTTGCGGAGAGCATTGAGACCGACCGCGGCACACCACCGAAGGATGTAGACACGGCTGTTCCTCAGAAGCGTCCATCGACGAAGGAGAAGTGGATCCGGCCAGGATGCCCCGACAGACCGCGAGAATCTTCTCTCGGCGGCAGGGATCGAAGCAGCGTGACGGACGGCGAGCAGGACACGCCTCCGACTCCCGGTAATGACACTGCTGCTGCTGCTTGTCCCTGTCCGCTGCTTCTTCTGCTTGCCTCTGCTGCTGCCGTGCCAACGCACTATCGATTTGCGGTGTGGTCGGCGTTGCGCTGCAAGGGGACTGTGCTTCCTCCTGCGTGGCCTGCACTCAGCATTGGATGCCCAATAGAACAACATCCATCTCAATGGGTGCCGTTCTCCATATGCATGTGCCGTGTCCGCTCTGTTTGACTTTGTGTTTGAGATTGGTTGTATTTTCGATGCACACAGCTCTTCCCGTGTTGATTGCCGATTTGGGCCATCGTATGGTTGTATGGCATTGCTTGTGTATTTGTTAGGTTTTCTGAGACGCACACACACACACACCGGTGCGAGTGAAATGTGCGCACACGCATATCCAAGCGCATTGTCTGTGTGACTTCTACTTGACATAGTATGCGGGGCGGGTTGGTGCGAGCAAGGCCGACGGAAGCGGGCAGCCGCGTGGGCCCAGCAATGGCGTTTGTGGTTGTGTGCGGGATCATATATTCCATCAGATGCTTGACGTCTTTTATGGATAGTTTAAAGTTTTTTTTTTTGCGATGCCCATGCTGCGGCTGTGCTAAACTGCTCACTGCGTGTCCATGAACTCATGGAGCACGGCGTGACGCCGCTCGGGGATCCCATGACACCACGGTAGCCGATTATGAGTAGCCCTGCGCCCTGCTTTTTTTCCGTGGAGGATGCGTCTGTGAGCCGCGTGGTTGAGGATTGGATGGCAAAGGTCCCGTACAGGGATGCACACATCTTTGCGTTGGGGTGCACCCCGCATCGCAGTCCTCAGCAACTGGTGTAGGCTCGGATAGCGCCGAGGGCGATGTGTTTGAAGGACATTATGTTAGACTTTGCTGCCCCTGAGGTGCTGGTGTTCCACCTCAGCATGCAGAATGGGTTTTCTCAGCTGCTGTTGCTTCCGAATTGAGAGTCCGTTTTGGACGTTGCTGTGTCACTTATTGTGGCGGCTTTTTACGCCATGAACAACGGTGTGCCTTTTATTCGCCACCAAAACAGTGGCAGCATCTGCCATGGGTTTGCCGGGACTTTTTTTGAGGGCTCGCCAGGCACTGCCACGACGAGCCGGATTTTGCTTAGGGGCGCCGACAGCCGCGGCAACCCGGTGCGAATCATCGTTGATTGAGGCTTCGAAACGGTGACGCCGCTGATGCACCAACGCACATGTCAGTGTCTGTTTGATGAGCTGATGCCGCTGGGGAAGAAAGTGTATGAGCAGACATGTAGGAATCGTCTGGGTGTGGACTCGAAGCGGCAGTAATTGGTGAGGAAGATGCATTCTGGTGCTCGTACCGTCATTGTTTTCTTGCGCATTGCGTGGAGGAGCTTTCGGTGGCGCTGAAAAAACTCCACGCGTATCACCCGGGATTGGCGCAGGGCGTGGAGCCGAAGGCCAATCCTGCGGAGTTGAGCAGTGCGGTGCGGGCTCCTCCGGAGTTTCGAGAGAGGCAAGCCAGACTGTCGCTGCACATCGATTTTTTGCGCGACGCTAGTGGCACAGTACTGGGAGAAGCGACTGGCGGAGGTGCGGGAGGTGGAACAAACATCGCCGTTGGGCTCCAACCCCTCAGGAAAAACCTGGATGGCGTGCGGCACCTGACGAGGGATACCACAACGCCCCGGCCTGTGCGTCTGCGTCTTCTCCTGTTGCTTGTGACTGCGAGCAGCACCGACGAGTTGAAAGAGGCCAAGAAGCAGCAGCTGATCCGAGACGGTGGACTGACGTTCGACGCTCATTTGTTTGCGAACGTTGAGCATGTGACGAGGAGGGCCGGGAGCTTGCAACGATACAGCACGGCGTTGGCGCAGAGCGAACGGAGCACGAGCGCCTCTGCGAGCAACGCCGCAACGGACGGGGATACGTTTCTGAAGCATGCCTGTATGATGATGGAGACGGCGGGCAGGAATAGGACGCTGCGGATTGGGCTGTCGTTGGCATCGGCGCAGCGCGATCATGTGATAGGGCCAAATGGCGCGAGTGGTGGTCAAAGCAGTGGAGCATGAGGGAACAACGCCGGGCCATTTCAAGGGTGCGGTGGCAAATGGGAGAATCATCCTGATCTGGGTGGCGGTGGTGGTGGGACGATTGCCCTCACAACTCCTCAGCGCATTGTGCTGCTTGTTTTGTGTGGTGTGGCCTGCAGCGAGAGGCGCTCGGTCCATGAGATATCCAAAAGGTATGGCCGTGGGGTGGTCATTGGGGAAATCTCGCTGTCGCGTCCTGAGGTGTGTTTGTGCAGGGACTTGGCACCCTACGGCAGTAGGACTCACGGGCGAGACACGCAAAGGAACGCATCGAGGGCCAAAGAGTGGGAGATACACAAACACACACGATTGCGGGTGTCTGTGGGGATTGTGTGCACTTCTTCCTGCATTCCGTTCCTCTCCAAGAATTGTTTCATACGATGCGCGTGTTTGTGTTTCAACGACCGCGCTGCTTGCATTTTACCTTTGTTTTTTGCGTGTACGGTTGCGGGCCATTTCCATGCAACTAAGAAGGCGGTTGAAAAAGGAAGGACATTGGTGGAGCATGCACTCACGGCTTCAGTGTTCATCCACTGGTGCTGACTTTTTTTGCCGGGGCATTTGTGCACGCTTTTTCCTCCATTGTCTTTTTTTTTTTGCACAGGAATCAACAGGTGGGCATTCGTGAGTGCTGCGGCGGGCTGTTGTTGCCCTCGCCGGGACGCGCTTAACGGCGGCAGCTCCATGACTTTGGGCTAAAAGGAATGGGGCTTTCTCCGGATCCTCACCGCAGGCGCATGCCGTGGACGGCCGAAAAGGAGTGTGTGCCCGGTGTTGTTCATAGCTCCAAGGAAAATATGGTGTTGGATGGCGCACAACGAGTGGATGTGGAATGTGTCGACCGTGTGCATCGCAGGTGTATCCGCTGGAGGCATTGCGGGCGGCCGTGGCCACATGCGAGTACAATACATTTAGAGGAAAGAACATTTTTCAAGTCGTCTCTCAGGCGTAATACAATGCACTCAGGCAATGGGTTTACTGCAAGGAGTGGCCGGAGGGGACGTACGACGAGAATGCCACTCGCACCGTCATTTATTTCCGTCGCCGCAAAACCACAACGCAGCCCGCGCCAATACGCCCTGCGGATTTTCCGAGGTGGCACGCGCTGTTCTGTTTGTCGCCACTGTTCCCCCACCCCGAGCGTCGGTGCAGAAGTCCCTGTCGATGCATGTTCCTGTCGCTTTCGGAAACGCACCCATTGATTGATGCGGCCGGCACCGCAACCCATTGCTGGTGCTTCTGGCATGACCGCTGCACCGCCCCCAGCATCTGGTGCAGTGGGACTGGGGACGAGAACACAGCAGAACAATTTCAGTCAGTTGGTGCTGTGCGCCCTGTCAGCGTCCCGCCGACTCCAGCGGCGAGCAGAGAAACCGACGGGACAGGGAAGGCATTGACGGAGTGTCAGGACACCAGTTGTTTTTTCACATCACTCCCAGTCAAACAGCCGGAAGAATTCACAACAACATCAGTCACCAACAATGACAAAGGAACAGCGACCACCGCCGATAGCGACAGCAGCACCGCGGTCTTCTACACCACCTCCCATCCTTTGTGTCTTATTGTCACGTATGCGTGCTGCTGCTGCAGTGGTTCCCAGGCCTGCATGAAGTGGTGTGCGCTGAATATGAAGGAAGGCCAAACGCAACTGAACTGTTTTTGTGATGAATATTGGCTGCACTTCCCGTGGAACAACAATTCTCTTGGTGTGCGGGGATCTCCTTTTTTATTGTTACTTTGCTTTCGTATTGCTGTGTGCGCTGCACCTCCTCTTGTGTGTGTGCGTACCCCCCGTGAGGGGTGCAGGCACGACGGACCGCTCTCGCCGTATGTGCATGCGGTGGAGCCTTGTGTGCCGCTCCTGTTTGCTTCTCCCTCTTCCATCTGTGTGTTGGTGCTGCGGCAGGGCTGTGTGTGTGCCTGCTGCCGTGGATTGGAGTGTGTGTCGTGCGTGGTGTGCGGCGTACGGTGCATGCCTGGCTGCTGCCCTCTCCTCATGTGGTGTGCTCTCTGTGTGTGTGTCTGCCGCACCTCTCGTCTCCCCTGTTGCTCTCCATTTCCCTCACTGTGCAGATCAGCTCCACACCACTGAACGACCACACTCATGATGATGACGATGTGCCGTCTGCTGTGCGCCCTGTTGGTGCTCGCCCTGTGCTGCCGCCCGTTATTGTGCGTGATGGCGACTGTTGACGTGAAAGAAAATGACTCCGGTGAAGTGCCCACACCAGATGAAACACGTCCGGGGACCAATTCTTTAAATCCAAGTGCTCCCACATTCCTGAAACCGGGTACTTCGAACGGTACGGAAAAAACACAAGATTTGCCAACCGGTGGGTCGTCCAACGGTCAAGTAGTATCAGATTTGTCTGGTCAGTCAGCGTCACAAGTTTCTGGCGTTCTGCTACAGCCACCTACTGCACCAACCGTTGCGTCAGTTGCACAAATTGTGCCGATTCAGTCCGAAAAAGTACAGGAAAAGGGGACGACTGCATCGACGACCACGACGACCACAACCACAGAGGCGCCAACCACGACGACCACCCGTGCACCGTCACGTCTTCGCAGAATCGACGGCAGCCTCAGCAGCTCTGCGTGGGTGTGTTCCCCGCTGCTGCTTGCCGCATCCGCGCTGGCGTACACCGCTGTGGGCTGAAGAAGTGTGTGTGCGGGCTGTGCGTGCCAGCACTCAACCAAGGGGATTTGTGCGTGCCCACTGTGGTCCGATGTATAAAGAGTAATTATGATGATTGTTTTTTGCTTTGCTTTCTTCCGCTGCCGTGCTGTGTGCTCCGCGCTGCTTCCCACATACGTCACGTTGAACGCATCGCG